CAGCGCGAGATACCTTGCTGGTCGCAAGGTAAAGACGTAAGACGCGGCATGAGTTCAAGCAGCTCCTTGAAGCCATCCTGGTCATTATACATGGGGAGGCGCAATTCCGGGTCGCGCGGCGAGTTGTTTGCATCTGTTTGGACTCTGCAAGAAAGTGGTCGCAAATCCCCCGCCTTCATAGAGCCTTCCGCATGTCAAAATCACGCGTATAAAATGTACCAGCAGGGATGTCATGATACAGAAGATGCAACGTTGGTTTTGAATTTCTGATTTTCCCAATATCAAGTTCATTCGATAGAGGTAACGGGACCGCAAGTACATTTAACAAAAATGTACAACCAACGTTGCATCCGCTCGTTGATATAGATTAACTTTTATGAATCAAGTGACGCGTGAATGTGAACGTAGCACGCTGTAGGTTTTCTGGCAGTAAAGAGCAATTAACGACGCGTCGCGGACGTGACAAGCTGTGACACCATCGCAAAAAGTGTCACACCAAATATCCTGGTCACTGTCCGGGCTCTCCTGCCGCAGCAGAAGCAGGTCCCTTCCCCTATGTTAGAACTGTAAAATCAACATAGTACATGAGATATATATTCAGCCTTTTACAGCTGTGATACAGTACTTGCTTTGTCCATTAATTACACAGATTTGTGCTTCCTGGAAATTAAGCTCATCTGTATCAAGGATAGGGAATGCACCCACTGGTGTGCACATAGATATGTTCCAAATGTTTTTAAAGACAATACATAACTTCCCTAAGCACTCCTTTGCCGACCTCGGTGAAATTGACCATCATTTCATCCCAATGGTGGTCAGCTCAGGAATAAGAAGAGACAGACATGTTTATATCTACTACAGTCTGTAATGGTAGAATACCCTTCTTGCTGGTTTACAATAATGATATACATTGCTGATGCATGCATAAGGTGAGAATGGAGCAGAGGAATGCACAAGAATACGAGGGGATACTTGCGACCACCTTTCAGCCACAATCTGCTGACAAATCAACTCGCACCGGAACCGGGCGTTGCGCCTCCCCATTATACAGCATCGGCGTGCCTGTCATGGCCACTTTTCGCAGTGAGCACCCCGACTGTCCCAGCAGGGACTTTAGTCCCTGGAAGGTTACTCGACTGTCTGAGATGTGCAAGTCTTGTCAATGCAGAGCAGGTAGGACGAGAATCTGGAGAAAGTCATCCACACCATATTGTCCTGAGATGGTGACTTGGCGGAGATCATGCAGGTGGACCTTGCGACTTCCAACTGCGAGGCCGGGGCCCCGAGAAAAGTACGATTTGCTGGAAAGAAGAAGCCTTAGTCCTGCACTTCGGGAATTCAGCTATCGAAAGTAGATTGATTTGTACTTGTTTGTGGCAACATGGTCCTGTGGAATGCACTCATAGCACTGTTAAAGGCCCCAGCATAAGACAGAGTCAAACTATATACCTCACTCTCCGACTGAGGAAGCGATGCAACATGATGGTATGGAGTATCACTTAAGCCACTCAAGAGCACGAGAGCGAGGAACTCATAGGTGACAAGGCAGAAAGTCATGGTAATAATTGCAATCAATACAGCATGAATACATTCAGACTAGTCAAAATAGAGTCAACATAGTACAGGTTCTGGTTATACCCTCAGACATTTGTCCCAGGCACTTTGTAGTTTCGCATGCACATGAGTAACTCATCCCCTTGCACGAGCACTTGCTCTTTCAGAGTAATCCATTTCATGTCAACCAGCGCCTCCAGCGAGGCATATTCTTTGGCTTTCCAATGGACTGACCATGCCTTGTATAGCAGTGTGGCCCGCCTTCGTCTTGAGGGCACCATGCCATCGTAAGGCTACAGCTTGACCATATGAGATTAGCAACACCCGTCCACATTTGACACTTTTTCCATATCTAGAGAGCATGTGAGCAAAAAAATGGTAAACAGGATGGTGGAACAGACTTCAAGACCTGGGGTAAATGTGCATGCACAGCAGGTTGCAGGTTTTTCACATCATTAGCAGCCAGAGGGTATGGCTTGACCTCTCCGTCGGAGTGTCCCAGCGTGGACACAGCAAAATCAACCCACTCTTGCGGCTTCACAAACCCAGGGCGCTATGTAAACATGAGTATTAGAGTATTTGTTTATGAGAGGAATGGCAACTATGTACCTTCTCCTCAACAATGACCAGACACTTGCGATCAAATTGCGAAGCCTTCTTCTGATCAAAGACATTCTCCCTGTCCTCATTTTCGTCATAGACCAGCTTGATGAGATGGTCCATGCGGGCCCCTAATGTTGGTGAACAGATTGAATTTGTGAGTACTCCGGACCTCAACCCACCTTGTCCCTTATCAACCACTTGGGCCTCTATGCTGAGGCACCATCCAGGGCTCAACGCCTTCAAGATGTGACCAATCAAGATCCGAGTATGAATGAACAGATTGGATGTAAGTCGGTCGCTGATTTGTTTTCAGTGATCATTTTAAACTCTCGAGTTCTAGGCAATATACTTACACGACATCCCCTTCATTCCGCAATGTATCGACTACTTGCACATCTATCCACTGATCCAAGGAACTTTCCACTAGCCGGACGGAGGCTTCGAGTATATTCTGGCCATCCAGAAGGAAATCCTGCATGTCTAGTGTTACCTTCCATTCAACAGCTTGCTTGGTGGAGTTGCTGTCCGAGATTGTTGGTTTTCCCGGTGATATGCACTGACACACAACAATCACCAAGGACCAAAATGAATAAACCTAAACCCCGTGATATGGGTGAAGGTGGTCCGAGACAACTGAAGGGTATTTAATAGTTCGAGGGGGAAAGGAGGAGTAAGATGCCGTAGGGTAGTCCGTAGGAAGACCTAGAAAAATAAAACAAAACCTTGACGCCTGAAACAAACACTAAGGGACGCTCCGGAGTATTTATCTCCGGAAAATCGCAGACAAAGTCGCAAACCACGAAACCGAGTGTAGGTTCGGGCCCACGGGAGTAGAAATTGCTAGAGAAACTTGGTTAATTTTATTTCGCTATGTGAGACTCACCGGAGCTAATTGAATCGATGGCGGAGATAATTCACTCAACGAGTCAGGCCTATTGGCAAAGCTAGGATCGGTTATAATTCGCTAGGTTCGACGCTTTCGAACTTCTCGAGTCGCTGAGATCGTAACACTAATTCTCTGAGATGGTGAAGTCGAAACTTATTTTTCTGTATGCTACTTTGTACAATTTATACTACAGGAATGGCTTTGCGACCGTTCGGAGATAAATAACAAATAAACGCCGCTACCCACAGGATTGCTCAGCACTTTCCTCCGCTATACCATATACCATACGACTCTCTTGCGCTCCCACTTGCTCTTTCCAGCCCCTATAGGT